TTTTATAAAAAATCATTAATGATGCACTTATAGCAGATTCTAGAAGCACTTAAAAAACTGACATATAAAATGAACGATCAAGAAATCTAATATTGCAGTCACAGTGTACATATTTAAATAAATAAAGTATAGAAAAACGCAATAAATCATACTATTAAAATGCTTGAAAGAAAAAGAGAAAGAAATACAATATAATATTTCATTTCACTTGTTTGATCTGTATGAAAAAGTTTGCAGTTATTTATTTCTATCCCCTTTAGAAAATCCATGTGTTGATGACACATGCATGAGCATATCACGGTTTTGCAATGCATTGTGAGAATATACAAAATCGAAATTAGTCACATCTTTATGTGTATGTATACATGAATTATTCATTGTTCACAAAACAGTAGTTTTGTCTAATTAAATCTAAAAAAGAAAGTTCTAAAGCTTAATATATTTATTTATACATTATAAATATCAATTAACAGTCAATAAGAAGTGGTGAACAGATCACACATTTATACACTCATTAACATGTATATATTTCCAAATATACACATACACATAAATATATACACAAACAATCAGAAAGTTTGTGATACGTTTGCTCTTTACTACAAAGTGTAGTAGTAGCCATACAAATAACTTTTTTTAAAGACCTTGTTTCGAACGAATCGCGTTTTGCATTATTGTTGTTGTGGCTAACCTGCTTCGCTATCGGAAGAGTCTGAAGAACTCGAATCTGATGAACTGGACGACATTGAACTGTCCGATGAAGAACTGCTTGAAGACAGTCGTCCAGCAGCCGAGGGGACGGCATCAGCTTTACCGGTTTCGTCTGTTGGGTTAAAAATATTGTATGTATTAGCAGTTAATGAGAAAAGAGGTTGATGCAAAATTAAAAATGCACCACTACAAAATGTCAAGAAAATTTGCATTTAATCATGAATAAATTCATATCTAAAAAAAATTGTATAATAAAAATAGAACAGATTTTAGAATGAAAAATTATTCCCTTGGATTAGTATATGATCGATATATTATTACCGCGACTCAACATATGATCATTATAGCAAATACGTATCGATGTAATTTGAAAATAAAATGTAATATAAGCACCTTTTCCTTTTTTGTTTTGTTTCTTGGCAGTTCCAAGTTGACCAGTTACATCCTGAAGTCTTTTTTCTAACTCTTGTTTTTTCTCAGCCATTTGTTCATCTTTTGATTTTCCAGACACCTTCTTGTCTGAAAAAAAAAACGAAAACAATTACTAACAATTATTATAAATTTAAAAGTAATAAGCAATCACTCAGAAAGCTTAACAAAACCATAAATAAGAAAAGCAAAAAAATAATTTCACATGCAACTTAACTTATTGTAGACGTAAATGTACTCAGATCAATTACGAAATGCTTCGAAAATATATTGCAAAATATTGATGAACTAATGTAATGTTGTAGCACCGCACAATTCCATAAACAATCAGGCGTCAATGAATAAACTTATTAAACAAGTTATGTTTAAATAAACAACTGATTAAACACAATAACGATTATGAAACAACGTTTTCATGCAAAAATGAAAACATTAACTATGCAAGATATCTTTAATTTAGCATAACATGGTAAAGCTCGATCTCATTTTCGATTCATACAAAATAAAGACAAACAATACGAATCAATATAACATATGCCAAAATCGTAATATTTGTTTACATAATAAAAATATAGAAATCATTCATTCATAGAATAAAAATATTTTGAATTTTTGAAAACGAAATTATGGAAAGCAGCAAATGTTATTAACAAAATAACACGCGCGGATATTATTCTATTATTATATTTAACAAAGAAAAAAAAATAACAGTCGCATATTAATTCGAGTCGAGAAAAAAAAAATCATGAACGTTTTTTTCTATAATCATAGATAGAGGGTTATTTCGTACATTCATCGGATTTTGATAAGTTGCTTACGAATTTAGTTCCAACTCAAATGAAAAAAACCAAGAAATATAGACAATATTTACAACTTTAATTTTTAATAGTATAGAATTTAGGTTACATAAGATGTTTGAAATTGTTTCAAAAATATTTTACAATAATGTAAGTCTACTCTTACAATATACATCTGCCTGAGTTAGTTATCAAAACGCAAAAAAACCCCAATTAAACGCCCCATAGAAAGATTATTTTCAAAGATTCCGTTATAGTTTTTAGAAAAGTGCTATATAATATTACTGAATTTTAAGCAGTTATATTTAAAATTGGGAAGAGGAGAAATATCAAACAAAATATGGAGAAAAAACTAAATTGAATTGATTGTATAAAAAAAGAAGGAAAGATCATATGGCTTCTGGTTCAAGTCTGTTTTAAATGGATAAATATTAATGTAGATAATTTGGATGTGATGTTAATTAATTCGTAAGGATTATTCAATTGGTTACCTTTACCATCAAGTGTAAGGATAACAAAAACGTTAATAATTTTCATATTTAAATCTTTATTTAATAAATTCTACGTATTTATAATAAGTATATTACATTATAAAATATATTAATTTATAGTAGTAATTTGCTTTAAAAGAATATTTAATAACTAGAGAAATAATATTACAATTTTAATGCTAAGATTATACACTAGTAGATTCAGTCATTTTTCATCTTATTGGAAATTTTTGAGTCTCAGGGTAATTAAAATCTTATTTAATAAATGATTTTGCTTCTAGAGTGTAACTGCCTCACGTAAAACAACGTCATTTTGTTTGTGTTTTATCTTTATAATAAAATATAAATGCAATTGTATGATAAAATAATCCAAAATAGGATAACTGTAATTATTAACTTCTGAAATGAGACAGACGAATTTAGTAAAAATCATATAAAAGTATACATGTTCCCAATCACCTAAAAACAATTAAAGACTAGTTATTATCACAGGATTTGATATGTCCAGAAATGATTATTTCAATAGTTACCTAAATTAACAAGATTAAACAATTGATGAATTAACTCAGATATTGAATGTTGCTAGAGTATTTTAAACAGACTAAAGTTGAATTTATTATTACCTTTATACGTTTTCCTAGACATTTCGACAATACATCATATAATGAAATTAAACGATTGTTACCTCAAGCCATATGATAATGCCTCTCATCTTAACTAAAAATCCAACACCTATGAGAATTCTGACAAACACATGTTGGAAAGCTTTTGCAAAAGCATATTTATGCTGAAAGCACAAGTTTTAAAACATTTGACGTAGCACTAGCGGTTCAATTCCGCACGCTTGACAGAATTAACTCATGTATTAGATCAGATTCTTAAGATATGACTAAAAGTAAATTTTAAGTGATACATGTGCTCCGACATTATCTCCTCTTCTCAATTGAGACCCGCTTTAAGTTCAAATAATGGGACAAACACATTCAAGTAACAACAAAATCAACCATCCTAAATAAAAATCTAATAAAAATAAATTGAGAAAGATTGTAAATACTAGATAAAATAGTCAACAAAATAATATCAAAAAGAATCAATAAGAAATAAAAAAAATACTGCATAACTTCTGTAAACCTATATCAGTTAATATATATATATATATATATATATATATATATATATATATATATAAATATCACAAATATACCACACCAAATATAACTACCATGCTTAGTATAGTGATTAGTTCCAATGACCTACGCTCGGTCACGATCACACTAAGTAAACACATGTTTTCGAACTAATTTAAATGTTGCGATAGATCTTTTTAAATTAAAGGTTTGTTAATATTACTAGTTCGGATAGTTATTCACAAATTTTAAAAATGTTAATATAAACAAAATGATTATTATTACAATTTGGACCATAAAACAAATTAGCGCGTAAAAAATAATGAATGAATAAAGCAAAATTAAACGAATCATAATATCTAATTGACTGCATATAAACAATAAATTAATGACTAATAAATTTAGTGCTAAGAATTGGTTTTATAGATCTATAAAACTAAGTTTAATTTAATTAATAATAAAATTAAGTAGAGCAAAAATAAATTTAAAAATATAATGAATTACGTTTATAAATTTATGATAAAGTATTAAATTTATATATAAAAAGCATTTAGAATATATAAAAATGTGAATCTTTTAAAATAATATATATATATATATATATATATATATATATATATATATATATATATATATATATATATATATGCCGGCAATCAGATCTATAACAATGATGAAAGTTAGAAATGCTAGAGTGTGTTTTGCTTTAATGTCATTATGCTAAAAAATTTAAAGCAAATATATATTGATCTCTATCATAACGAAAAAAATAATTTAAATACATGAATTGGAATAGCTTTTAACATTAAATATTTATTTTACCTTTTCTGTGTGCAACAACAGAATACTTGAGAGTTATACTAATTATATTCTCAAAATATTTTAAAATTATTTCATATTTTATAATTTAGGAATAAAAGTACATGGAGTATACTTTTATAAGATACTTTTGCTGGGACAAATCTATTAACACTATAATGTTAAATGATGATCTTAACGCTTTTAAATTAACAAAATTTCTTGTATATATTGTTTTATATATACAACATTTTCTCATAAAAATGAGAAAATACGCACAAATTATTAAACTTGTTTTCTTAGCTCGCGCGATTTTAATGTATTGAAGCATGCTTAGATTTTAGTGATCTCATCAAGCTCAACAAGCATCAATTTCAAGATGAAAATATAGCATTTCATGTAATATATTCAATTTGTAATTAATATTTGAAAAACCCGTTGACTTTTCATATTTTTGGAAATAATCTCTGATCACACACTCATAGTCCTCTAACTTTCAAACCGCTTTGATAGACATTTTTAATTTATGGAGCAAGTTTCAAAATTATTTATGATATTATGTAAGTGCTTTCAAAGATAATGTGTTAACACTAGTGTGAAGTAATACACACTACTGGTTCACAGTGCAATCGTTGTTTTGACCAGGCGTACAGTTAACGGAACTTACAGTAAGGCTTACGGCTCTTTTACGTAGACATGAAGCGACATAGCTCTCCAACTCTCGAAGCGTCGAAGGCTTCAAGGTCTCAAAATCTATTTCTATTTCATCAGGATTTGAATCTCTAAGGCTTGGCTCACGTGATTGAATGATGTGTACCACTCTTCCTAACTTGTCCCCTGCAAAAACAAATAATATTTATTTTTTTAGTAAATTTCTTAAGATGATAGATAATTTTTAACTTATCTCTATCAAAGATTCACAAACACCTATTAGAGGAATAAAAAAATAAAATTAAACATAAATTAAAGTTGGTTAACAGTTATACTACAGTTTTTTTTATTTTGAAGACAATATAATAAACAAAAGACTAACAAACCTAATTCTTTAGGTTTCAGAAATAAATTGATGGAAATAAATTATGTATTTAAAATACTTTAATGTGAAGAATAATATAATAATCAAACCTGGCAATTTATTAATATCCAATGACAATTGTCGTTTCTCGTCGTAAGACATTGGTTTGGCCGTATCTTCTTCTTCCGATTCAAAGTCCAATGGTGCTTGTGCAGCCATACCCTTCTTTTTATTGGCTGCATTCGCTCCACTGCCTGCGGGACGACCGCTGCTTGCCTTCGGCCTCTTACCCGCGGCGCCACCTGTTGCACCAGCCTTAGGGCCGCGCGTGCCAGCTGAAAAATCATCCATATAAATATTTACTGCACATATTGATAATTAACAAATCTTCATACTAGAATTAATAAACTGTCATTACACCGTCATCAACCCATGTAAAAAGAATATATAAAAAAGATACTTAGTGATAATGTTGTACAAGCAAAACAGAAATGAGGATAAAAAAGTTGAGGAAAAAGCAAATCAAAATGAAAAACATTTTCAAGCATTACAACAATGGTTTATGGTTATGAGAACATGTAAAACCAAAATAATTATATAAAATAATATGAAGCATCAAGCACAACATGAAATGCATTTTGATTTAGAGGTAGGATAATATAGAACTAAAAATGCAATAGTGGTAATTAATGGGAATGAGAATAATTAGCACCTTTGGGTCCTTTAGGCCCTTTTGCGATTGGCGTGGAGCTAGTGGTAGCTGCCGTGTGATGCAGTGCAGATTTCTGATTATGATGAATGGTTGAATGCCCGTGTATATCACCGGGAATCTTCACATCTCCTGCACCCATCGCCACATTTGCTATACTAGCCCCTGCAAACAAATCACCCGATTTTAAACTATTAATTTAATGATTTTAAAATTACTGTTCTGGCCCATTTGAATATTATTAGGACAACCAAATAAATAGCTCAGCACACATTTTGATCCACTATTGCATTTTTAAAACCATATTACAATATATTTTGATTACGAGATTACGCATAAATGAATACATGTAGTGATTATATATATTATGTTAAATTAAATGAATGACAACATGCTATTAAAATAATTACATAAAAGGATTCTACAAAAGCAAGAAAGTTTGTAAAAAATTAATTAACCACATAATTCAAAATTGCTATCAGCATATAACTAGAGAAAAAAAAACTTCCTAAAATTATTTTTAGTTATGATAGCTTTCTTAATGATTAATCTTTAAGACTTCAAAAAATAATGAGAAGAAAATTCTTGAATGATAAAATAAAGATAATTCTAAAATCAAATAAATTTAAAAATCAAACAATTACATGTTAATATTATAAAATTATTTACCTATACTATCTGTGACCGAATTTTGTTTCGACAAATGAGATTGGGCCATGGCCATGGATTTTCCAGTTGCACTAACATTTGGTATAGCACCAGGTTTCTTTTTGTCTTTCATTTTTTTCTTGGACTTCTTTTTGGAACCTGATGCCTCAACCAACTTTCTCATTTTCTCCTGCATTGCCAACAGTTCTTGTTCCAGCACCTTCAATTGAATGAAATATCTCATTTATTTATCTTGTTTACTGAGACTTGTTTAGCACAAATATAATATTTGACAATATAAAGATAAATGATCAAAGAAATATGCTAAAATTTGCAAAAATAAATATTAATTGAGATTGATAAATTAAGATTGATTACAAATAAAATTTAATCTCTATTAATTATTAATTATGGCTATTGATCTCTGAAATAAAAGCAAAAAAAGTATACAGATCTGCCAAAAATGCATAATGTTGATATTGCATATGCACATATAGACTTGACAAAAAAAAAAAAACTAATATACAGTATGAAAAATTACATGGCACAAATATAAAAAGTTAGGTGTATTATGTATATACTAATGTAATAATACTAATATAATTTATGAGAAATTTTAAACAAAATAAAACAGAATTTGTCTATAGAAACTAGAATATAGTTTGTATCACCTTTAATTTAGAATTCCTCTCTTCTTCTGTATCATCACTATCACTTGAGCTTTCACTATCACTACCAGAACTACTACCCGATGAATCTTTATCCATGCCAGTTAGGCCCATATGACCAAGTGGCTCGTCAGGAATTTTAGAGAATCTAAAAAAAAAATTATATTAATTTAATTTATAGAACAATATATAATACAACTAAAATATATCATGACCATTCCATTTGGGGAAATAAATATTGAAATAAATAAATAAAAAATAAATGAATGATCATCAATCAAGACTTAACATATAAAATAATAAAGCATTTTGTAAAAAAAAATCTACTTTTTCTCGGTTAAAACTTTTTTCTTCTATTTTCCTCAGCTAAAATACTTCTTTTCTATTTTCTTTTTATATATACATATTCTTTTTTATTGTCATAGTCATATAGATTTCAAAAGCAGGTTCCAATATGAATATAAATAAGATAACTGATTTCTTCAGAAATACCTGTTCTCAAAAATATCTTGCAATTTTTTTGCCATAGTTACTACATCATGGTCAGGTGGATTGTATCGATAACAATTTGTAAATATCAATCTAACATCTGCAGCGAAATCAGCAGCTGTTCTATATTCTCTATTATCCATTTTTTGTTTTACTGTCCCTAGATCCATTGGCTTAGTAATAATTGTATGATAATCATGCAGACCTAACATGACTGCATCCACAGGCTTATAGAAAGGCCATGCACAACTCTGTAAATTTTAGATTTATATTGAGCAATATTTGTATAAATTTAGTGAAGGAACCTATTCAGAATATTATTTCAATTAACAAGTCTTTAGATTAAAAGTAATGTTCTTTGACAACCTTATAAATTATAAAATAAAACATTACTGAAAAGTCATACTTTATCCTATGTAAATGAGGTAACCCTATTTTAGACATACCGAATGTTTTTTAGAGAACAGTTCTTTCAAAATTTCATTGCAAGACTTGAGAGAATCAGATAATTTTTCCTTCATTTTTTGTTGACCTAGGACTGCTTGTTGACTAGCAGACATGATTGGCATCACAGTAGCTTGATGAAATGGTACCAAACCATCCTGCTCCGGTCGTGATGGCTAAAAAAAAACAATTTAGGTTAACATTATTTATATACTCATTATTTTAGAAAACAAATCAATGCAATGTGAAACAACAATGTAATGTAAATCAAATATAAACTATATCATATATCAACCTTTTTAATTTGCCGACCACTTTCCCGCCTAGTGGATATTTTGGCGCTTTTAGATTCCATGGGACTTGCGTAATGAGCATCATAAGCTGTTGCGGTTGGAGTTGTTGTATCTGCTTTTCTTTTGACGCCTTTCTTAACTTTGGCAGGTGCTTGAGGTGGTAAAACTGGAGACGCTACTACGTCTGCCAATGGGTTATTTAAAGGCTGGGATGGAACATGAAAACTTAAAGGATCTGTTAACGGTGAAACCCCTAAAAATAAAAATTTGTAACATAAAAACTTACTTCATATAATAGTCTCCTTATACTAAGATCAAACAATGTGTTATTTTAATGAGTTCATTTACTATTATGTAATTAAAAGATTATTAAAAATAGTGATAGATGCAAGAAAAAATTAATAAACAATCATCTAAATTTAAGATACTCAAATGAATTTGACATTTTGATAAAAAATTTGAAGATATTAGAATTTATGATATATATAAAAATAAGTATTATTTTATAATATTTAAGAATAGTACTTGCCTAACACCGAACATATTTCCAAAACATTGTTACTAATCATGATTGTATTTCATTAGACATACAATAAAATAATTCTTGAATAATGATATATATTAGCTTATTGATGATTTTGTTTTTAACATACTGAGACAACATATGAAAAACAAGTGAAATATGTTTTTATATTCTATAATTATTAATATATATTTCATATTATGTATCTAACTAAAAAATTCTAAAAATATAATGTGAAGATTATATAAAATATAAGACAGAAAGAATTGTCACCGAAATTAAATGCACATTCATAAAAAAAACTTACTCAAATCAATTCTCACATTAGTGAAACTGTAAATTGAATAAAGAGAGTGTTCTCACAAATTTTCTTTTGAGATAAAAAAATGCATACTAATGCCTAGAGAAAAACTAACTATTACAGCTACTATGAAATTAACTAAGAACTAACCTTGAGCAGAGACGGATGATACAGAATTATGCGCTATAGAATTTGATGCAGGTATTGCGGTTGTTGTCGTATTTGTGCTGCCAGGTACTGAGTGAGGTGCACCAGTACCTATTGATAAAATAAATGATCACATATGCAATAAAAACATCATGTGCAATCAAAATTATGGCAATTGAATGACATTATATTTTAAAATAATATTCAAACTAATTAAATTTGAAGATAAAATATCTACCTATAGCAGGTATTGCTGGAATAGGAATGGCATTCGGTACACTAGATGATACTGTTGAGCCAAGAGATGAGGACGGTCTTCCTCTGACACTACCAACCAGAGTTCCTGGAGGAGCTAAGGATCTAGGTTTCTTTTTCTTTGCTCCTTTTTGTGTAGGTGCGTCTACTTCAATTTCATCCTTAGGCATTACAGCAACCTAATAACAATTTAATTATATAAGAAATTTTTCTAGTTTTGAATATAATTTTAATTTGAAATTCTAACGATTTAAAATAGAGCCAATTAATGTTTTACAAATAGGGTGTGTATGTATGTGTTGAAAATCATACTGATTAGTTTTTATTTTTACATAGTCCAGGCCGTTTCTTGGCATATCAATGTGAAAAATGTTTTGACCATTTTGATTAAATTTTTTTTATAAAAATTCATTGAGGTTCAAATGAATGAAAATACAGCACGTGTGTTCAAAGTGTGTGTTCATGTAATTGAATAGCTGAGTGCTTACGAGGGCACATTAATATACAATATCATTTATTATTTATACGTATCAGGAAGTTCAGGCATCTCTTAAAGCAAGATGCCATTTACACCAAGTTTTGATTTCAGTTACCTTAGTCAAAAATAATTTTTCCAATGTCTGAGCCATAACAACTACGTCTTCACCAGGTTTATTATATACATAGCAGTTTGTAAACATTGTATTGAAATCTTGTATACATTCTTTTCCTGACCAGTAATAGTTGTGCTCTAATCGTTTCTTTATTGTTCCCAAATCCATAGGTTGTTTGATAATTTTATGGTAATCCTTAAAAGAAACAAGATCAAATGTCAATAATTATAATTTCTATGTTAAAAGTTTTTGTAGAACTAATACCAGAACAATTATTGCCTTAAACAAAAATCGAAGTGTTTTAAAAATGCAATAATGAGCAGTTGACACAGTTTAGATACTTTGATTACAGTTACATGAAGATCTTCAAGGTTTAATCAATATTTTTATCAATCATATCAGATTTTTGGTATGATTGTTAAAAACGTGATCAATATTATATTAAACAACAAATATTTTATTCTAATTAAGCATTATTCTGATACTTTGAACTTACAGGCAAATTTAATTCGGCCGCATCGACAGGTTGTCGAAACGGCCAAGCAAATCCGTGTTTCCATACAGCTTTTAAAACCGTTTTTTGAAGATATTGTAATTGATTGGTGACACGGCCGGGTCTGTCAGGAGGTGGCAAAACTGGAGGTTGAACAATACCTTAAGGAACAAAATAATTTAATTAGAATGCATAGAAAAACTAATTTATGTGTAAAAATTAAGCCTTATTTTAAATTTTCATCGGAATTTTAATACTTAAATATTATATTTTTAAATGTCTATATCCAAATATAATAAATATTTGAATGAAAAGTAGTGGTTTACTCACTAGTAATGGATAAAAATGTTTTATGTCCAAGTAATAATGATAAAGACATCAGAATTTGAATTAAATAAGTTTTATAAGTTTCTGTTACAACTATTATTATTATTTACTAAAAGTCCTCACCATTGACAGGTTCTAAAGTGTTTGTGCCGGTTGTGTCGGAGGAAGCACGATTTGGTGCCGCCGCACCGCCATCCTTGTTTTCCATGACGGCAGATATCGAATTGAATTGGGGTAACGGTGAAGAAGAATCTATCGGTAATAATAGTGCCGAATCCAAATCGACTTTAGTTTGTGCGGTGTTATTGCTGATGTGGGGCGATAGACTAGGAAATGAAAGATCTAAAGGAGATACTTGGTTCACCGCGATATCCTCGACGATTTGAGTTTTTGTTGTTTGAAGATTATGTTGTTTGATGTTGGTTACTTCTTGAAGTACGGGCTGTAAAAATGAGAACAAGAATTATATAAAAATGATATAACAAACAAATAAAATATTTCAAAATTCTTTTTTTAAAAAAACTCAATCCTGAAGTAATGGAAATTGATTTATATAAGATTTTTTTATTAAAAAATAATAGATTTAATTTTCAGGATTGATCCTTCATCGACAGTTATTAATGAATATTATAATGGGTTATCAGTTCCCAAAGCTTATCAAAATTCAATTACCAATGCCATCTTATTATTAGGCAACTATTGTGGCTGTCTATCTTATAGATGTTTACATAGTCCAGTCATTTAAGCTCAAATGAAGTAAGAATCTCGGAACTCGAGATACCCAGCTGTAAGTCAGTAAATATTTGCGAATTGACACTAAAAAGTTGTCTCAAAATCTACATATGGTAGGTACACTCTACCATATGTAGGTTTTGAGACAACTTTTTAGTGTCAATATACAAGTATTTACAGACTTACAGCTGATTATCTCGAATTCCGAGGTGAACTTACTACAAGGACTTGACGCATTTAGTTTCTTCAAGTCTGAACAAAATTAATATACACATCTTTCGCCGTGATTAATTATATAAGGATTATTATATATTTTATTCATTTTAACAAAATATTTATCTTTAATTATTAATTGATATTGTAGGAGCGTTCTTCATCAATTTAAAAATCTTAAGAACTCATAATTTACATCTCTGAATAAAAAAAACGTACTCATTTTTGTCCAGATAATTGGGGCACTTTCGCGCTCGTGCTACTGTTAAATTTCTCGTGCCGCAGTTAAGTATCGTAAAAAAGTCAGTATATAAATGTATCAATAATGTCATTTTCATTATGTAGACCGATTTACACATTTCCATCAATTTACATCATATAAGTACATTATGAAAGTCGCTTCGATGGTAAATGACTTAAGTTTCACTTTAATAACAATATTGAGATTTATATTTAATAAAAATCAAGATACAAAGCACTGGCTAAAAGTCGGGTCACAATTATGAAATCATATAACTTTCAAAGTTAGTACCATATTTTAAAAATGTGTTAATTTAAGTTCAATAAAAAAAAGTTTAAAACAATGAAGTAAAGGCTATTATTTTCATATAGATGTAAAAATATGAAAATATAATAAAACTTCGTATTTGTATTTAGTACTCATTATAGATAGTGAAATGCTGCTCATTTCAAATTGGGCTAGTGATAATTGCAATTGGTGTTACTAAATATTTCGAATTGTTTATATTGCTGGAATAAGCAAAATCACAAATTTTTAAATGTGTAATTAACAGCAACATATATGTAGTTATGCAACAATGTTGTGCTAAATATTAAGAACCTATCAAGCAAAAAAAATATTTTCCAACGCCCGCAAATATTAAATTGCTGACGTACGATTATTGTCTTCTCAAGAATGTTTTTTTTTCTGATAAATAGAACATAATATTTTCGAACACATCAAAGAGTGATCACTCGGTGTTTTTATACTTACAAACATATTTTCGGTACTATTATCCACTGTTTGCATAATTCTTTCGTAATTTAGTCTAACGCTACCGTCTTCAAGAAAGAGTTGAGACATTTTTACAAAATCACGAAATTGGAATTTACGTATAACGTATAATCAATATCAAGCGTTATTTTGTTAGTTGATTATAACGACTACTAAGATACCTACCAAATGTTGAAATATTTTATATCATTATTCGAAATTACTTAAATTATTCAATACCCATGGAATTTTCAAAAATAATCAACTTTTGAAGTTAATTATTTCAAGTTGTATCTCGCATAATATTTTTGGAAATTGTATCTCCATATATTCAAAAATATTTTTTCCCCGTCATGTTAACTTGATTTGAGTTGATCAACCGATGCCACTTTGATACTTGCATAAATTTTGTTTGCGCTGATTATGATAATCGAATGCATTTAGAAAACAATTAGCAAAGCCTTGCAGTCATTAAAAATAATAAAATAAATATTTAAAATATATTATATAACGTAGGTGTCATAATTAGAAAATGGCCAATGTACCACAATACAATGTCAATAATTAATAAAAAAAACATGCATTTTAGTAAGTAATTTGCACCGAATGTTCCTGAACATTATTTTAAATCGAAACTTAAATTGCATTTTAAAACTTCTAATTTAATGGTTGAACAAACAGCTGCTTCAATCGTTTTTTTCTACATGTTACGATTATTATACAAAAAGTATAAAATTAATAATTATTTTAATTAACAATAAAATAAAATAAATCTTTGAAAATTTTGAAAAATATATAAAATCAACATATTTGGTCAAGTTTTCGGAAAATAAATTTTCATGAAATTTGATTGTTAGAAATATTCGCAGTATATTAAATTAAATTTAATATTATGAACTAATTACATTAATGCATTAAACATGCCACATAAAATATATTCTTGTTAAACATTAACTTAAAATAATTATGATAAATGTACTAAAATAAAACAACAATGCAAAATGGTACGATAATTTATTCAATTTAATTCGATATTAAAATTGATTTTGATAATAAACATGAGTTAGATAAAAGCATAATATATTTTGAATATTTTATTTTATAATATTGGATAAAAAGCTTGGTAAATTCCCGTATCTCTTGAATCGCCTACTTCTGTCACCGTAAAAATATAGTGGAAACTTTCATTTCATGCATGCGAAAATATAGTTCACACTCTAGAAGTTAAATTTCGGAATAATAATAGCAACGAATAAGATGATTGGGTACATGCTAAAATATTAAACACAAATTTACTAAAATTCAAATATATATCTATAAACATTATTCCACAGATTTACAATCGCTGTTCATTTGAAAAGCAAGAGCGTAACATAGGACAGAATTACAAAGAAAGAGACATGATGCACAAATAGGTGAAATGGTGAAATGTATCTAACACTACGATATTAATAATACGTTACGCGTAAAACTAGAGTTGGTACGCGCAGACATTACACAGTCAGCTCTTGAACTAGATTTAAGGGGGTTGTTCTTTTTTTTTACAAAAAATGCAATGTATTTGTTTTTATTTTTCTCGATATGTATTTAATTTAAATTTAATTTAAATGTATTATCATAGAGACATGCGGTTTTTTTTAAACAAAAATTACAAAATCATAGAATATTACGAAATTATCTTCTTTTTTATTTTCGCCGTCATTTTTTAACCAGGGGGCGCCAAAGTCGGCCTTGCAAAATCGATCTCTTTTGCGGTGCCACAGATAAATCCGTTGCGCATCGCCCGAAACAAAAAAAAAAAGAAACTACGTTGAAGAAGAAGTTTGAATCCAGTCTCCCTACCAAAATGAAAGAAATAAAGCAAGAAGGAAAAAATGGCAGCTATTTTTAAAAAAAAGTGTTAAGAAAGGCCTTGTTATTGGGGCGAAAAGCTTCGCAAAAGTTTTTTGCGTCATGTTATCAAGTTGTTTGAGGTAGGGGGACTAGGTATTGCAGTGGTGAACAAATTAAAAAAAAAAATGCAAGTCGATCCGACTTGTAGTTTTTTTTTTAATTGGGGCACCGCATTGAAATAAGTCATTTTGCGAAAAACGTATTTAATGTTTTTAATATAATGTACAAAATACACCATTGAATTTAATGTACTAAATACACCATGGTGTTCAAAGATGGACATCATTAAAAAGGTCATGTGCATGAGGTATCATAATGAAAAAGAGAGCAGCTGGCATACAATAGCTCGCGGAGCGATGAAAAAAACGGTTTCAGAGGATCATACATATAGATATATATATATATCTATAACTTCGTCAAAAAAATAGATATTGAGATGATTTTTTTTAATAATTCTAAGGTTTTTAGCTTTCATAATATCAAAAAATCTCCAAATCGAAAAAAAATAAATAAAAATCGAACAACCCCCTTAACTCATTGTATAATTATTTGTAAAAAAAAAACAAACAAATAAAGCTAAACGATCAGAATCCAAGGGTTTAACAAAGCTATTGAGTGTCATTTTTCCAACAGTTTGTAATTAATTATTTTGTATATAATGTATTATAATTTCTTCGCACAGTAAACTATGATTGACGAATAGACTCGTCATAGTGAAGTGGCAAAATCTTTTGTATTGACGAGTATATTCGTCATGTGTATAAATCTTTAACGATTTGCAATTTAGATTACAATTTTTAGAAAGAAAAAAAATGTATCCTCGACATTCAAGATATGTATCTAGAATAATAGGTTGTCAAATATCTCCCTTCCGCCTTTTTGTATTATAAACCAAGAGCAAAAAAGCGGAAGGGAGATATTTGACAGCCTATTATTTTGAGGCCATGTCGGTATAAATAAATAGTTGTAAGTCGCATTTTATCTCAAAAACAATATTTTACCTCGATTCTCTTTCAATACTGTGCGCATCGTTCGATGAGTGCGCCACAGTTAACTGGATAAATATAGTACTAACAATAAACATTTTATTACATGATAAATTTTTCTTGGCTGTGGAACATAATTGATCAAACAATAATCCGAATGACCCTTTTCAAAAATGCTATAAAAATGTTAAGCAATAATTTTTCATAATTCTATTAATTCAAAATACTTTTTGTAAGCCTATTTTGAAAAATCATTTATAAATTTATTTCTACTATCATGGTACTATGAAAATATGCAAATTATAAAAAAAATCTAAATCTTTTGGATAGAAAGATGAAGATAAGGTGTTTTTAGAAATAGGTAGACCAAACAAAATGCATTTTTATAATAGATAAAGCGAAATAGCATTATATTTGACAAAATGCAGAGAAAATAAAATTGATGATTTGAAATACAGCCTAAGGCCGTATTTTCATTTTATTGAATCGAGTTTGTGCAATTATAATGAATATTATAGGGGGGGGGGGTGGTAGTAGCCTGCTCTTTAGAGGCTTAAAAAAGCGATTTTTTTTGGTAAAATTGTCTTCCAAAACTAGCCAAGAATATATTCCTAAATTTTCAGAAACAAATTCATATTATTTTTGGAATTACAGAAGAAATGGTGAGCATCAAGCATGTATATAAGCGGAACGAAAACTTCGACGCGCGATTTCTCGGTTTTGAATTTTTTCAATTCTTCCTAATTGGCGGGAAAGATAGGAAAAAAACTAAACGTCCTATCGAAACGAGATAAAATTCTTTGTATTCAGGATTAAATTCTATTCTAGTTGAACCTAAAAAAAACTTATAAAAGAAAAAAGTTATAATTAACCCACTTTTTAAACAATCTACAGTGAACTTTTGTATCAAAAAACATGATTTTTTATTCAAGTTGTGAAAAATTGGATTTTTTTTTCATTTTTTCTGGATTTTTTAGGTTCAACTAGAATCTATACTATTGTAAATATATATTTGTTTTGATTTTTTGTTTCAGATGGAAATTGACCTGCATCTTTCCTGCCAAATGGCATTTTTTCAAAATGCTATAAGAATAATTTTTCATAATCCTATTAATTCAAAATATTTTTGGTAAGCCTATTTTAAAAAATCATTCATATTTTTATTTCTACTACGACGTATATACATAGTACCGGCAAAATGCCTGTACCCGGCACATTTTGACATATATTTTAATGAAAAAAATTAAGAAGAATATTGAAATATATAACAATAAAACCTGATTAAATATTTATTTCCTTCCCTAAAAATCCCTCAATTGTTTTCATCTATAGCCCATTCAATTGGCATTTACTAGCATTATAATTTTTTTGTAATCATTCCAAAACACTTTCGAATACCTATAAATGCAATAATACTTATAGTCTATGCAGGCAAATATCAAACTATATAATATTTAGATGTATAAAAATATTGAAATTTAAAAAAAAAGTGAAACAGACTCAATAATGTAATCCATGTAGCATTGCATGTAAAAAGTTCTTTTTATGCTCAATAACAAATACAATTCAATTAATCATTAACAATCAATTGGTATTCTCAGGACATATATCTGTGTATAGCACAGATATTATTTTACTTTGTTTCTAATTGATTGATTATATAATTAAATATACAATCAACAATATACAACTAATATAATCAAATATAATTTAACCGATTATATTTCTTTTTAATGACAGTAATTCGGAAAATAAGGATGGAAGTAAAAGTTAATTAGTATAATAATATTATTATAAAAAATGCACATGTTTGTTAATACGCATTTAACTATGTAAAGTTTTTCCAATTATTTTAACCATATTTTCATACTTGTAAGTCAAATAATTTGTACTATTCTGTTTACTTAATAAAAAAAATTCTTACCTGTAGCTAAATCAAGTATGAGACTATCGATTCAGTCAGCTCGTAACCAAAAGTAACGCCATTGCACTACAACAACTATTCGTTGTCAGCAGTACTTTGCGTTAAGATATACGGACCCAATAATTGGCCTGTTGATATAAACAAAGCATTATATAGTTTTCACATGGTTATATCAACAATTTAAATATTATCACATTAGTTGTATAATAACAATTTAAAATAATTGTGCATGATTATTAATATCAGTTCATACGTGTGAGAATGCACATGATCTCCAATATATAACTTTATATTTAAATTGCCAGATTTGATATTACAATATAATATAGCTCAAAATATTTCAACAATTGCTTATGCCTAATTCCAAATTCATAATCGACTTTCATACATTAATACGGGTACACGAAAGAAGCTGAATAGGCTTTTTTAGTTATTGCAATAAATTGATAAACCAAATAGATATCTTTAAGAAATTCTTTATCTAAAGAGAATGAATTTACTATAAAAAATGTAAAAAAATATATTTAATTTTAATAACAAAAAAAAAGAATAAGTTCAAAGTACTGTCACAAAATAGAAAACTATCTGGTCAGGTTTTAGCAATAGTATGCTATTTTCTATTTTGTGACAGAACTTTGAACATTTAGCAATAATGTCTTAGAGAAATGACGATATATATTGAAATGTATGTTAAAACATTTGTAGAAAAAAAAATTGTGGATTTATTTATCATCAATAATACACAGGTGTGGAAAAGTATGATGGAATTAATCTCACAAATAAGGTAGGATGAAACTATTTTAAAATCTTATCTTTAGATTGTTTACATTGACATCATTCCATAACGCATTAAATACCTAAATTGTTTTTAAATTAAAAGAAATACTTTTCCAACAGATAAAAACATTAATATAAACATACAAAATATAAGCTTACAGAGCACCACATGACTCAAAGTTATAATCTATCCTTCTCAAACATAGATTTATCAGTAATAAGTAAGATAGTAGTTTTGCTCACTGTTTCAATATTTACGAAGATTATATATATATATTATATATATATATATATATATGTGTGTGTGTGTGTATTTCTGATTTTCAACGTATATGTCAAAGATGCACCATACAACTGTAATTTCTCTACTAAATTTATGCTAGATCTATTAAAATTTTTTGTGTAAGCAATTAATCGTGCAAAGCGAAGATGAATTTGCAAGTAATAATACAATAAAATGGTCAGGAATTTCTTTGCAGAAAAATATTTAAATTGATTTCTACCAAATAAAAAAAATTAGGATTGATTCTAAGTTATGAGGTTCAATTCGATAATGCGATGGTTTGTCAATTATTTGTTGACAATTAAAATAATATAACATTATTTTTCAACATTAAATAGGTAAATATATTTCAATAACATGATTTTTAAAATACATATCTAGACCTTTATACATCTTCAAATTCTTACTCAGATAGCATTTGTTAAGTAATTTCACAATTAAAATTTAATGTGTCTTAGAATATTATACAACAAAACCCATTATTCAAACATTCTTTATTTTTATGGTTGTGTGTACAAATATATGTAAACAAACAAGTTATTAAACAAATTGAAGAAATACTGAAGAAAAATACTTTTTTGTAGTTTTATAGTAAATGAAAGCCGATAAATTGCCACACCCCCCTCCCGTGTGAACAAGTAACTTGAGGTGTAGGAGGCGATGAAGCTATTCTTCCGACCCGTACTAAGTTGACATTTATACAAAAACCAAAACATCACGAAGCTCAAACATGTAAAAACGAACAGTTAGAGACAATTTTGTAAAAATTACACATTTTAAACTAACGAACTTAGAATTTAGCCACTAAATACGATGTTTCAACAAAATAAAGACCTTGGCTTAACCGTCCTTGCATACAATGGATGTTGTAAATTAAAATGTATACCACAAAGGCGGGAATTCATGTCACTTTTCACAATAAAAAATATAAATATGATTTACACATATTTTCCTCTGAAGTAACATTATTATATCTAGAAATACATATAAAGCCCGAGTAATAATTTTCCCCAATATGGCGGGCAATGTAGCATCTCTCTAAAATTGACTTCTAGACGTAAAATATTCGTATTACACATTTATGCGTGCGCCTGTAACCATTATTAAAATAAGAAAAA